AGCCCCGGTGCGCACGCAGATGTTGCCAAGGCTCGGACGGTGCTGTCACTGATGATGGAGAACCTTGGAGGTTGCTGCAGCGACCGCGTAGCAAGGGCAGCCCCAAACCAGGACAAAACAAAACGAAAACCAAGGTCACGACCTGCAGAAAGCGGAGGGTGGCCTATGAGAGGAGGGACTCACTGGCGGGCTGGGCGGCCACAGCGAGTGATCCAGGAGACCCGGGGCGGGGCGGGGCTGCGAGGTCTTAAAAGACATTGTTCATCAGTCGCAAAGGACCAAATGCCAAAACTGTAGCTTCGGTATTTCAGGTCAGAAAGAATGAAGATGTCACCAGATAGGGAAAAAAAAAATACACACACAAAAAAACCTAATCAAAAGAATCTAGCCCACCCACTCCACCTGTTTCCTAAGGTAGAACATCTTAAATAGGGACAATAAGTGAGAAGATGGATGGACAGGACAGCGAAAGTAGGAAACTAAAGGTGGCTGACGCCTACAGAGGAATTCACATGAACATGTTCCGGTATCGTTAGTACTTACTATAAGGTAAGGATGAGTAAAAGGGAAGAATGAGGACAGGGACATAATGTTTTTGTTGCATCGGTATACTTAACAATCACGTAAATGACTAGGAAAATCGTCTAGGAATGTTTTCCTTGCAGGCCTAGAGGAGTGTGAAGGGCCCAGTTGACAATAATTTAGAAAAGAGGCAACTGTTTTCAATGAAATGTATGTACCCTTTACTCTTTGCACGAGATACACAGTGTCGATCTGATGCTGTAGGTGTGTCATTTCTTCCGGTGGAGATTGTTGATGCGTTTAGGTAAAGGAATCTACTTAATTGTCCTTCTAGCAGCAAATCACAAATTCTTAGCATAAAGTACTTTTATACAGTGAATATTTAAAACACTAGCAAATACTTCAACCTGCATCCTCCAAACCCCACACACATCTATAATAATAAAAGTGTAATATGCTAATTAGATGAAATAGCCGAACGACCTTCCAGACAACCTTCTGGATGAAGCCGGGGCCATGAGGGCCGAACCCCTTGCACCAATTTTGTGCATTGGGCCTCCAGTATATATATAAAATACGTTAAACTTGTGTTCTGATAGACAAAGACAGAACTTTTCATCAACCACAGTTGATCTGGGAACAGAATAGGAATGTAGGAAACATCAAGTAGTCTTTTGTTTTCTTCTTTAAAAAAAAAATTTTTACTTTTAAAGTTGAGAGACAGGATCATGCAGTTTTAATTTAAAAGACCATACTCAGAAAGCCAGGACTCTGAGTTCACGACTTACTGGTTGTATCGTTACTCAACTTATCAAAGCCTGTTTCCTCCCCTGCAAAAGGAGGTTGATAGTGTCTTCCTCATATCATTATGAGAGTTAAATGAGATAATACATTTTAAAAAAGAATGGTACCCCTAGCACATAGTGAGCATTCAGTCAGTTTGTTTAATTTTTTTTATTTGTTCATTTATTTACTTTATGGCTCTATTTATTTGCCTATGTTACTGCTGGGAGCCCAGCACACGATTTGAAATCACCCAGCACCACCCACTCCCTCTCCAGCCCTTCAAGCAGCCACCGCCGCTACTGATCAGGCCCTCCCCCAGTGCAAGCGTGGGGAGGCCCCTGCTGCCCTGCCCCTGACGCTGCCCCCAACGCTGCACGTGCAACCTCCTACTGTCCAGTCAACTGTTACTGCATCCCGGTTAATTAGCATTTCTCTCTCTCTCTCTCTCTCTCTC